ACCAGCTTGGAGGAATTTTAGCCCATTCCTCCATACAGAACAGCTTCAACTCTGGGATGTTGGTGGGTTTCATCACATTAACTGCTCACTTCAGGTCCTTCCACAACATTTGGATTGGCTTAGGGTCAGGACTTTGACTTGGCCTTTCCAAAACATGAACGTCATTCTTCTTGAACCATTCGTTGATAGAACCACTTGTAAGCTTAGGGTCATTGTCTTGCTGCTTGACCCACCTTGGTGGAACAACCTACCCCCCAACATTAGGCATGCCACCTCCCTTCCTGTGTTCAAATCCCTGCTAAAAACATATCTGTTCTCTCTGGCGTTTCATACTGTGTGAGTTGATTTAGTATATCTTGTTCCATGTCTTCATTTTAATGCTGTTGTTTTAATTTTTTAAGATATATTCTTACTGCTTTTTATTTCTCAGTGTTACCCTTAGTGTTAAGCACTTTGATAACAGTTTATCTGTTTTAAATTGTGCTCTATAAATAAATATGACTTGACTTGACTTGACCTTCTCTTGAGATTCAGTTCATGGACAGATGTCCTGACATTTTCCTTTAGAATTTTCTGATATAATCCAGAAATCATTGTTCCATCAATGATGCAAGCCATCCTGGCCCTGAAGCTGCAAAACTGGCTCAAACCATGATAGTACCACCACCATGTTTCACAGATGGAATAAGGTTCTTAAGCAGGAATGCAGAGTTTTCCTTTCTCCAAACATAACACTTTTCGTTTAATCCAAATAGTTCTATTTTGGTTTCATCCGAACACAAAACATTCTTCCAGTAGCCTTCTGGCTTGTCAACATGATCTTTAGCAAACTGCAGATGAGCAGCCATGCTCTTTTTGGAGAGTAGTGGCTTTCTCCTTGCAACCCTTCCATGCACACCATTGTTGTTCAGTGTTCTCATGAAGAAGGACTGAGTAACATGTGCCATTGTGAGAGAGGCCTTCAGTATATTAGAAGTTACCTTAGGGTACGTTGTGACCTCGTCCACTATTCCACACCTTGTTCTTGGAGTAATCTTTGTCTGCCGACCTCTCCTGGGGAGGGTAACAACAATCTTGAATTTCCTCCATTTGTGCACAATCTGTCTGACTGTGGATTCATTCCAAAATCTTTAGAGATGGTTTTGAAACCTTTTCCAGCCTGATGAGCATCAACAGCTCTTTTTCTGAGGTCCAAACATGTTGTGAAGACAGACTTTGATAGACCCCTGATCTTTAAACCAAATAGAGTTCCCACTCATTTCTCTGATCATCATCTTGATGATTGAAAACACTTGACTCTAATTTCAACTTCAAAGTAACTGCTAATCCTAAAGGTTCAGATACCTTTGTCACTCACAAATATGTAATAGTGGATCATTTTCTGCAATAAATAAATGACCAACTACAATATTTTTGTCTCATTTGTTTAACTGGCTTCTCGTTATCTACATTTAGGACTTGTGTGAAAATCTGCTGTTGTTTTAAGTCATTTTTTATGAAGAAATACAGAAAATTCTAAAGTGTTCACAAACATTCAAGCACCACTGTACACACCCACACACACAGATACAAAATTTAAAAATTACACAAAACAATAACTGAAAGCTAGGGTCAGGTCTGATCTGCTTATATAGTTTGTTCCACAGATAATGGGCATGAAACACCATTTCAGCGTTAAAATATTGTCAAATCTTTCATGTACAGTAAAATTACTAGCTGTGGCAACGGGAGCAGCCAAAAGAAAAGCAACAACGTTGAACATGTTCTGGTTTTCACTTATTTTGCTAGGACAGGTCACATATTGTATTCTACACAGTCTTTCCCACAGTTTGTTTTTGTGTGTTGTCAAATATATCTGTATCTTTTACAGCATCTCAATCTCCACCAGTCCATATCCTAAAACAACAAACAACAGGTATCTCCATATTTAATCAAATGTTCAACACTTGCAACAACTGCTGTAGCAATCATTATAATTAGTGTTATGAAAAGCTGTAACACAATAGAAAACATTAGAACGATGGAAGATTTTATATCATTGTGGTATGTAAATTCACTCATATTCAAACTACATGACAAAGGTGATGACAGCCTTAAAGGAGACAGGCTTTTTTTTTTTTTTGTTAGTTTGTTTCATAGAAATTTTTTATAACATCATCCTAAAAGCTTATTTTAGCCTAAAGAGTTATGAGGCAAGGCAAATTTATTCATATGGAACATTTTATACGAGGGTAAGGTGCTTAACAGAATGTGAACAAGTTAACAAGAACAAGGCAAAAAAGTCATGGACACACAAACACACCAACACACAAACTGTAAAAATTAATCATGTGAGATCGTTTGCTGTGGCGACACCCCAAATTAGGCAGTGCCAAAAAAAAAAAAAAAAAGCACCAACATTGAAATAATCCTTTTTTTTAACTTATTTTGCTATAACACAGGTCACATATATTTATTGTATTCTACACAAACTTTCCCACATTTGAGAGTGTGTTGTCAAATATATCTGTACCTTTTACAGCATCACAATCATCACCAGACCACCTCCTCCAACAACAAACAACAGGTATCTCCATATTTAATCAAACGTTTGACACTTGCAACAACTGATGCATCAATCATTAGATGTAGTGTTTTAAAAACTGTAACACAATAGCAAACATTAGTGTGCTGCAATATTGTTTATCATGGCAGGTAAATTCACTTATGTACATTCAAATCACAGTTTAAAGGTAGCGACAGCGTTGAAGGAGAGACACGTGTTTTTGTTCGGTTTTTTTAGGTATTTTTTGTAGTGTCATCCTAAAACCTCAGTTTAGCCTAAGGAATTATGAGACAAGGCAAATTGAATCATGTGGAGCAAAATATAGCACAACTCAAGTTGTTTAACAAAATTTTAGCAAGAACAAGGCAAAATGAAAAATGCACACACACGTACAGACTGAAATATTTAAAATTGTAAAAAAACAATCACTAAAATCAGTATGAAACAGTTCAATATCAATTCACTGATACTAAGAAATGACTGAGAATCTTCACCTGCATTTAATATCAGTTGGTTAAAAACAAGTGCAGATACGTATGCATTTTATTTTGAATTAATTATGGTCAGATAACGGTCAAGTCTGATTTGCTTAGATTGTTTGTTCCACAGGTGATGGGCATGAATCAGCATTTCAGCGTTAAAATAGTCACATATTTCATTTAAAATTGCTTGCTGTGGCGACGGGAGCAGCCAAAAAAAAAATCAACAATGTCGAACATTTTCTTGTTTTGACTTATTTTGCTAGCACGGGTCAAATATACTGTATTTATTGTATTCTACACATATTTTCCCACATGTGTATGTGTGTTGTCAAATATATTTATCTTTTACAGCATCTCAAACACCACCAGTCTACGTCCTCCAACATCAACCAACAGGTATCTCCGTATTTAATCACACGTTCAACACTTGCAACAACTGATGTAGCAGTCATTATAATTAGTGTTACAAAAAGCTGTAACACAACAGAAAACAGAACAATGGAAGATTTTTTACCATTATGGCAGGTAAATTCACTTACATTCAAATTACAATATAAAGGTCATGATGCCTCAAAGGAGACGGAGGTGTTTTTTTATTAGTTTGTTTTTATTTAAGTTTTTATGGTGTCATTCTAAAACCTTATTTTAGCCTAAGGAGTTAAGAGGCAAGGCAAATTTATTCATACAGAACATTTATACCATTTTATACCAAGGTGCTTTACAGAATATGAGCAAGTTAATAAGAACAAGGCAAAAAAAGGCATATGTACACACACAAACTGACAAAAAAATTTAAATTGTAAAAAAAAAAAAAAAACATTTACTAAAAGCAGTACTAAATATTTTAATGTAAAATGAATCAAGAAAAACCATGAATATATAAAAAAATGAAATTGAATAAACATTGAAAAAAAATCATGAAATGTAATAAATTAATAGAATGACATTTATGAAAGCAAAGTTCGAAATACATGGGGTAGGTAGGCCACAAAATTTTTAGAATCATATGTAGTGTTTAAGCCATGAACAAACTGACTTTTAATCCCAAAAGGCCTCATAAGTGCAGTGGGTGTGGTGGGACCTTTCTTTTCAAGTTCTGTAATGTAGTTAATATCCAGGCATTCATCACAGTTTTTGTATTCTATTCCTTTTATTGTCAAATAACACTTTGACTTTTACAGGATCTTAATCATCAACAGCACACCTCTTACAACAACAGACAACAGGTATCTGCACATTTAACCCTTGTTCTTTGGGGGGGAATCAGCTATTCATTTATTTTTGTCCATGTTTATTTAGTACATTTTTGGTTGCAGTCAACAAACACATTTTTTGTTCTGACAATGTCTAAAAATCATCCATCTCTGATTTTGCTCTCTCTGACAGACCTCCCCCAACCTCCCTGGTCTTTTATATTCAAAATAACTTTGTATTAATCATGAATGGGGCAGCATGGTGGTGCAGTTGGTAGAGCTGCTGCCTCTCAGTGAGCAGGTTGCCCCAGTTCAAATCCCAGTTAGGGGGCCTTTCTGGGTGGAATTTGCATGTTCTCTCCGTGCATGCGTGGGTTTTCTCCAGGTACTCTGGTTTCCTCCCACAGACCAAAAGCATGCATGTTAGGCTAATTGGTAACTCTAAATTGTCCCTAGGTGTGAGTGAGAGAGTGAATGGTTGTTTGTTTCTATGTGTCCCTGTGATGGACTTGCGACCCGTCCAGGGTGTACCCCGCCCCTCGCACAGTGAATGCTGGACATGGGCACCAGCGACCCCCGTGACCCAAAATGGAATAAACGGGTAAAGATAATGGATGAATGGATGGATATTCTAACCCTACTTTTTATGCTTTTAATAATGCTATGATTTTTATTCAGGATCTCAATCACCCCTGGTCGACTTCCTACAACAGACATTAAAAACTTAGTAAATAAAACTTTTTACTCAAACGTTTTACACTTGAAACACTTGATGTAATTAATAAAAATGTGGTAATATGGAAAAGTGGAACAAAATAAAGAAAATTTACATTCTGATTTTTTTTTATCTAATTTACAATGAACATACATAGATTACAACAAACATTTACAGCAAGCACAAAAATACACAATACTTTTTTATCTGTTTGTTTAAAGTATTTTTTTAATTTATTTTATTTTTATTGTCAATTTAACAGCTCATTTTATGCTGATGATATTAGGGGCTTTATGTAAAGTAAAGGGGAAAAAAAATGAACGAACAATAATTGAAAGAGAAAACATTGCAAAACTGCCAAATGTGTAACTTTTATGGGTATGGATACAGAAGATTTTGAAAATATTTGTTTTTAGACAAGGCTAAACTAATTTTTAAATCACAAAAGTTCTCATAAGTGCTGTGGTCATGGTGGCAGCTTTGTTTTCAAGTTCTGTAATATAGTTAATGCCCAGGCATTCATCAGTTATTATATGTTCTGCACTATTTTGCTTTAGACTTTCTTTTTAGTCAAATAATCATTTGATTTTTACAGGACCTCTTCCAACACCAGTCCACCTCCTACAACAGACAACAGGTATCTTCACAATTAATCTGAATTTTTACATGCAAAAATGGCATGAAAACAGACAAGGAACTGTAATGTGTATTTAAAGTAAATTTGCATTTATAGTTTTAGTTCAATCGTTTTTTTTAGTTTGGGGTTCATGTACAAAAAATAAAAGAAAAAACATGAACCATAACTAAATTAAAAAATATATAATAATTGAAAATGTAAATATAATTAAAAGAATAAATCACTGCATTTCATAGTTCATTGCATAATCTTATCCAAGTAATATGATAATAAAATTTATTTGAAAAATAATAAGTTAAAATAAAGTAAGTTCTCAGCTCCCCGACTTGGTGCCTGTGTGTTGGAGTTTTCCCCGGTAGATGAGAGGGTAGCTTCCCTTTGCTTTCGTGCAGGGAATGGGCTCTGACTGTTGTTTGTGGCTATGCGCCAAACAGCAGTTCAGAGTATCCGGCCTTCTTGGAGTCTTTGGTGGGGTGCTAGAAGGTGCACCAGCTGGGGACTCCTTTATTCTGCTGGGGGACTCCACTGCTCGCGCGGGTAACAACAGTGTGATCTGGAGGGGTGTGATTGGAAGGAACGACCTCTCTGATTTGAACTTAAGCAGTGTTCTGTTGTTGGACTTCTGTACTAGTCATAGTTTGTCCTTCGCAAACACCATGTTTGTGGATGCAGTAAGAGTGTCCGCAAGTGCACTTGGCACCAGGACGCCATACGTTGTAGATCGATGATTGACTTTGTAGTTGTGTCATCTGATTTTCGACTGTTTGTTTTGGACGTATGGGTGAAGAGAGTAGCTGAGCTGTCAACTGGTCACCACCTGGTAGTGAGTTGGATCAGACAGCGAGAGAAGATGCCGGACAAACCTGGTAGACACAAACGTGTAGTGAGGGTTTGCTGGGAACACCTGGCAGAAGAACCCATCAGAACAAGCTTCAACTCAGACCTCTGGAAGAGCTTTAACCACATCCAGGCTGAGGCAGGGGACATTGAGTCAGAGTGGGCCATGTTCTGTGACTCAATTGTTGAAGTGGCTGCCTTGAGCTATGGCTGCAAGGTTGTTGGTTCTTCTTGCAGTGGCCATCCTCAAACTCGGTGGTGGACACCCTGAGTTAGGGAGACTGTCAAGCTGAAGAAGGAGTCCTATCGGTCCTTGTTGGCTGCCCACCAGCCAACAAGGACTGATAGGACTCCTTCAGAGGCAGCTGAGGAGTACTGGAGAGCCAAGCAGTCTGCAGCCGTGGCTGTTGTTGAGGCAAAAGCTCAGATGTGGGAGGAGTTCGGTGAGGCCTTGGATGAAAACTCTCGGTCGGCTCCGAGGAGATTCTGGCAAACCACCAGGTAGCTGAGGAAGGGAAAGCAGTTCTTTACTAACATTGTGTTCAGTGAAGGTGGGGTGCTGTTGACCTCAAACAATGATGTCATCAGGAGGTGGAAGGAATACTTCTTGGACCTTCTCTATCCCACAGGCACATCTTCCATGGAGGGAGCAGCATCGGATGACTTCGGGGCTGGCCTGGCCATAACTGTGGCCAAGGTAGTTAAAAAGCTCTGTGGATGTTGAGGGACTATCTTGGTTAACATGCCTATGCAACATCGCATGGACATCGGGGGAAGTGCCATTGGATTGGCAGACTGAGGTGGTGGTCTCCCTCTTCAAAAAGGGGGACCGGAAGGTGTGCTCCAATTATAGGGGCATCAGTCTCCTTAGACCCCCTGGTAAGGTCTATTCAGTGGTACTGGAGAAGTGAGTCAGATCGTTGGTAAAACCTCAGATACAGGAGGAACAATGTGGGGATCTGGCCTGACGGTGGAACACTGGACCAGTTCTTTACCCTCACTAGGATCCTTGAGGGGTCATGGGAGTTTGCCCATTCAGTCTGTATGTGTTTTGTGGACTTGGAGAAGGCATTCAGCCATGTTCCTCGGGGTAAATTGTGAGGGGTGCTCCATGAATATGGGAATGGGGGCCTGTTGTTACGGGCTTTTCAGTCCCCATACAAGTGGTGCAAGAGTTTGGTTTGCATTGCCCAAGTCGGACCCCTTCAGTATGGGAGTTGGACTCCACCAGTACTGCCTGTGGTCACTGATTCAATTCATAACTTTTATGGACAGAATTTCTTGGTGCAGCTAGGGGGCAGAGGGACTCCGGTTTGGTGGCCTCAGGATTCCATCTCTGCTTTTTGTAGATGTTGTGGTCTTGTTCGCATCGTCGTGCCGTGTTCTTCAACTCTCACTGTAGCTATGCACAGCTGAGTGTGAAGCAGCTGGGATGAGAATCAGCACCTCCAAATCTGAGGCCATGGTCCTCAATTGGAAAAGGATGGATTGCTCTCTTCAGGTTGAGGGTGAGGTTCTCCCTCAAGTGGAAGAGTTCAAGTATCTTTGAGTTTTGTTCACGAGTGAGGGAAGAATGGAGCGTGAGATTGACTGACAGATTGGTGCAGCATCTGCAGTTTTGCAGACTCTGTACAAGTCTGTTGTGGTGAAGAGGGAGCTGAGCTGTAAGGCAAAGCTCTCTATTTACCGGTCGGTCTATGTTCCTACCCTCATCAATGGTCATGAACTCTGGGTAGTGACCGAAAGAATGAGACTGTGGAAACAGGGGGTTGAAATGAGTTTCTTCCAAGGGGTAGTTGGACTCTCCCTTAGATATAGGGTGAGTTATGTTATCTGGGAGAGACTCAAAGTAGAACTGTTTCTCCTCCATATTGAGAGGAGCCAATTGAGGTGGTTCGGGCATCTGGTGAGGATGCTCCCTGGACGCCTCTCTAGGCAGGTGCTTGGGGCATGTCCGACTGGAAGGAAACCCCGCGGTTGGCCTGGGAACACCTTGAAATCTTCCCAGAAGAGCTGGAAGAGGTGGCTGTGGAAAGAGATGTCTGGGTCTCCCTGCTCAAGCTGCTGCCCCCACGACCCAACTTCAGAACAAGCGGAAGAGGATGGATGGATGGATGGATGGATGGATGGATGGATGGATGGATG